GAAATTGAAAATTAATTAATTTTTTACAAAAATACTAAGAAAAAAAATTAAAAATCAAAACAATGAGGACCAAGTTGGAAAACTTAATGCAATAAATTTGTATTTAATTATGAAATTAAAAACCAATAAAAATTTTATAAAAAGACCAAGGAAAAAAAATTTTAAATTAAGGACTAACTTGAAAAAGAAACAATATATGTGATGGAATTGATAGACAAAATTGAAAACAAATAAAATTTCTATAAAAGGATCAGGAATAGAAATTCAAAATAAAAAAAAATTAAGGATTGAAGTTGAAATACCAACAATAAAAAGGATTAAACTGTATTTTTCAAGCGAGAAGAGAAAAAAAATAAAGATTTACTAAAAACAAATCAAATCACTATATTCAACATGCAGCACTCCACCGAGAGGACTCCACCGAGAGGATATGTAGAAGATTTTAGTGACACGGTGGAATGATATTTTTAGACATAAAGAGGCAATGCACACTTTTAGGAGTGCGCTTCACATGCCTAACATTTTTGTTTTGTTTTTTTATTTCGTCAAATACCAAATTTCTCATTAATTAACTCAATAACAAAATAAATCATTGTGAAAAGACCAAAAGACCCTCTAACTCTAGTTTAAAATTTTGTTTTTAATGGCATTTTCATCGTATCACTGTATATTTTAATTATTTATTATTTTTTATATTTAGTTAAAAACTAAATTGCCTTTCAGATGATATTAAAATAACAAGAAAAATCATTATAAAAATACAAAAATAACCTTTAACACCAATTTTAAACTTTTTGCTTCCAAAAGTATTATATTGGTTTTGCTTTTAAATGGAAAAAAAAAAAACCTTATTTATCCTTAGTTGATTTAGTAAAGATAAATGGGTCTTACAAAAACACTTCAATATACTTGATAACTAGTTTTAAGGTTTTTTTGGATAAAGAGGCAAAACATTCATTACATTGATATAGTGAATAGTATTTTTAATTCAGCATGTATAGTATTTTTTCAATATCTACACCTTAAATACTTTTTTGAGTTACAAAAAGTTAAAATACAAAATTGTTCACACATAATTTTTCTTACAATTTATTGATGTATACTATACAAGTATATTTTTTTATTCTAGGATAATACTAAATTTTTAAATATGGCAGAATTTTTTATTTCACAATAGACTTATTTTTAAAGACAAATTTCTAGCCATTGGTCAAACTTAACAACTAATAAACCTGGATACAAGATTTATATTAAGCCTACATGTCTTGCTAGAATCATAGCTCATAAAAAGTTCAATTTCTATGAAGATGTTTTGTTAGTTTATGTAAATGCATTTATTTTTTTAACTTGAAAAAATTTCTTTGTTAAAAAAAGTTTGTAGTGTTTAATAAATATTTATAACTAGATGAATAGTGTTGTAACCCATTTTGGCCCCCATGAAAATAAAAATAAATAATAAATAATAAAAAAAAATATCAGAAGAGTGTCGTTTTGAACGACACTGTTCCTCTTTCTTCTTCCCCTGGACGTGCAGCAGGGGAAGAAAGAAAAGGTTTGTTTTCTTCTTTAATTTTGCTGTATCTCTCTCTTGCCGCATGCCCTGCCAAAACCGAGGGAGCCACGCCTTGCCAGTCGCACCCACTGATCGACCACCTGTCGCATGCTCTGCAAAAACCGAGGGAGTCGCACCCACCGACTGACCAACCGCCACATGCCCTGCTCCCCATGCGCAACAGTAAAGAGCCCCGCTCCTTGGCTCTATAAATAACACCCAGAAACAGAAAAAGGAGAGGGAGGAGAAAAAGCTTTTGGAAAATTGAATGAGGGAGAGAAGTATGAACGAGAGAAGTTTGAAAGAAAGAACATAGAGAAGGGAAGGAAAGGATTTCTAAAACAAAGTGAGGGAAATACAAACTTAGCAGAACTGCCCACGCCATCATCATCCTTTTAGCTCATCCTCTCTCCATCCCAGCACTGCACAACAAAAAGGAAAAAAATACAATGAGACAGTGAAGGGACGATCGAGAGGAGAGACCATCATATATAGAAGAGGACGAACAACTAACAGAAGGAAACACCAGAGATCAAGAGGAGAAGAACCAAATGGAAACAGAGGGAACAAAAGAAACCAAGAGAAGAAGCAACGCCTTTGCACATGGAAGAAAAAGAAAGAACAGCTGCTATAATCGGGCTCCTCAGCCGCCACCGCAGCAACGCCACCGCCCAAATCGGCCACCAGCACCACCACTAGCATCACTGGGAGTGTCTGCCATCGTCGTCAACATCGTTTCTGCCACCAGGTTTGTCCACCCCCTCTCGTCGTTGTGCCTACACCATTCCTCACATTTTACTGTTCAAGTGAAACATAATTCACTTGAGCAGTGAAATGCTATTGTTACTATTCACGTGAATTATATTTCATGTGAATAGTGAAGTTTGCAAAAAAAAAATAATAAAATAAAAATTCTTCAAAAATTATTTCAAATAATATGTGATTTTTCGCATGTTTTGTTATTGTATTTTGATCAATATCGGTTTGTATTTTTATACTGTAAAGATACAAATCCGATATTAAAATACTTGGTTTTTGTTAAGTCATCAAAAAAATATAAAAATAAAAATGTTTTGTTTGGGTGTATTTGGGGTGCTAATACCTTCTCTTTACGCAACCAGTCCCCGTACCCAATCTCTGAGACTAATTAGGGTTTCTAGTGACCAAAATATTAGGTGGCGACTCCCATTCCATTTTTCACTATCAAAAGACTAGATTTTCTTGTCCCCTTATATTTGCAATTGGATATTATACATTTCTAGATAAAAATAAAAAACTCACCGCGACGCCGCACACGTGCGACAAATAATATCTTCTTTTTTATATTATGTAATAATAATTTAGGCATGTAGGTCTTTGATTGTTCATCTATCAAAGTATTTTTTATTATTTTTTTAAAAATATATTTTTGAGTTATATCTATTAATTTTTCTTATTACACTCTTCTGGAATGACACTGAATAAAAATTCTTTAAATTCTTTTGAGAAATACGGAGAATTGTGAAATTAAAATTAATAGATGAAATTCTTCGAGAGGCTAAATAAATTAATTGAGCAAAAAGAAATAAAGGGCCAAACTACTGGCCAAGTCCAAGCTGAACCAAAAGTGTTATTCGGATCCAGAATATAAGCCCATCCAGTCACTGAGTGTGGACATGACAAATCTGACAGCAGAGCAGGAATATCCAGGTAACCAAGCACATCCATCAAGTGGCAAATCAGTTAATTTATCAAACATTACATGAGATAAAGGTAAATACATATGTTAAATTATTATTAATTTGCCTGGAATGTTGAACCTCTTTTAAGCTTTAGCCCTTCAAAGTTCAAAGCTAAAGCAAAAACAGAGCAAAAAAGTGACGCAGACACTCGTATCTTAAAGATTCTCCATCGTTAAACAATCAAGTTCCAACACATCACTACATTTTTAAGAGCTCTTCTCTTCATTTTTTGAGCCCAAAATCACTAAATTGAATCACCATTCGAACTTCTTTTTTTGGTTGGTCTTTTGAGGTAAGAGTTGTATGATCATGCAGCCATTGATTAGCAGTTATTGATTCTTTTAATTGTCGTTGTCTCTATTCTTTGTTTAACATGCAATTCTTAGTGTCTTAAGATTTCATTGAAATTTTTTTTTTGGTTGGTTAGAATCGAAGGTATTGAAGCACTTGATTTTCGCTTTTTTCATGGTTGATTATTCCTACGTGGGATATTATCTGATTGTTTTTAGCTTGTTATGGTGTTTGTTAGTGTGTTTTAGATATGATGAAAGAAACCCATTTTGTTATTTGCTCTCAATTTGAAGAAATCAGGATCTGTCATGTTGAGTTATTGTAGATTTTTGTTTTGTAAAGCAACAAGATCGAATTAGTATGTATATATAAGTGTGTGCTTAAAATAAACGTTAGTTTTACCCATTAAATTCACTGGCTTTTTGAGTTTATAATTTTAATCTCTATATGAAATTAACATTGAATTGCATGCCAAAACTGAAATGGGTAAATTTTAAGGAACATGACTTAGTTCTGATATATGGAAAGTGCTCTGTATGTATAAGATGTAGCTTTAAATTGTCTCATGGCTCAGCTCGTGAGCTCTTTGCTCTGAGTTAGCATATAATTAAAATTGTCATTTTTTTATGGACAGCAACTTGTAATTTAACCAGGAGGCGGAATTAGACATAACATATAGAAGTATGGTTACACCTCAGCAGCCAAAAAGGAGAGTGGCATTTATCCTGATCGATGGATTGGGTGATGTGTCATTGCCGAGGCTTGGCTACAAGACTCCTTTGCAAGCAGCGAACGTGCCTAACTTAGATGCTATTGCATCCAGCGGAGTTAATGGTCTTATGGACCCTGTTGAAGTAGGCTTGAGTTGTGGAAGTGACACTGCTCACCTTTCCTTGTTAGGTTATGACCCCAGAGTGTACTATCGGGGTCGAGGAGCTTTTGAGTCCATGGGTGCTGGATTGGCAATGTCTTCTGGCGATATTGCATTCAAAGTGAGTGTGTGTGCGCGCCGTGTGTACTTTAACCTCTTTTGAAAGATTTATTTTTGTATTGGTCTTGCCCCCTTGTTAAACGCTGTTTCGTTCTTGTATTAAGCATGCGGAATGTTGTCATAGAAAATACAGGTATTATATTCTATACTCCAAGAATGCACTTTGTCATTTACTCATGAACCTTTATTTGTAAAGGAATTTAGGTGTGCTACTAAATGCACAGCTGAACACAGAAACTATAATTAATACCTTAGAAACAGGGGTGGCATACTACTTCAGCCAAAGATGGTCTTTGTAGATTTGTCTTTATCTAGAGAAATTTTACATGATTACTAGAAAATATGTGCTTGGGATCTTGAAGTTAATTCCATGTCTTTTTCCTTCTTTTTTTTTCTTGTGATGCTTTCTAAATCAGGGAAGAACATTCTTGTATTATCTTGCTATTTTTTATTTATTTATTCATGGGATTGTGCTCTCCACATTAAACTTTCCTGCATGTCAGGGAGTCAGAGCATTTTATAACTTTTGTTTCCCACTTTTATGGGCTAAAAATGAATCTCTTCCACCTAATAGTCTCTTATGTTTTATCTATATATTAATACAAAGAGTTGTGTGAACTGTCAGGGTAGAAAAAGCCCTGCGGTTCATGAAGTACACAATTTTCCAGCTCTGACATAACTCAATAGTTTTTTTTCCCCTTTCCATCCCTTTCGATTTCTGTTCATATATTATGCTTCCAGTTATATTTGTTGCAGAAAACATTTTAACATTGGAGAAACCACAATTTCTCATTGTTGGTTTTCTCATTTAATGCATTTCTGTTGTCTTTTTATCTGCAGTCAAATTTTGCAACGTTAGATGAGAAAACTGGAATAGTCACCAGTAGAAGGGCTGATAGGCATTTTGAAGAAGAAGGGCCTATTCTCTGTGCAGCTCTGGATGGAATGAGGTTGCCGTCTTTCCCAGAATATGAAGTCAGAGTCAGGTGCAAATTCTTTTTAAATGCAGTAACTTATTGATCGATCAAGACAACAAGAATGTGCTCAAACTGCATAATCTGAAAATTTAAACTAGCCACTCTTCCTTTTTCTTTCTGGGGGGGCATAGCCATCCTTCTCTATCTGAAAAATTATGGACTTTCAAACAAGTTGATTGGACAAACTTGCTTAGAATGGATCATTCACAACTTTGTTGCAAGCTTCTTCATGTCACTGAAAATTTGAGTTAACCTTGTTTTGTTGGTTGTAAACAAGCTCACAAAATCAAATTAACGCACTGATGTGAAGGAGCTTTTACCAGGTTTACTTTATATAGGTCTTTGAGAACGGCTTTATTCAATTGTTAATTTAGAAAATTGCATCAACATTTTTTCTTTTTGTTTAAAAGTTTCTTTGGAACTTTCAAGTTCGAATTTTTCTTATACAAATGCTAATTACCCCCCTTTTATTATTATTATTCTTAGTGTTTGGCTAAGTGGGGGTGCATGTTCTAAATGGGTAACTTCTAGATTACTCTAAGATAAGATTTAAAGAGAAAAAAAGCATGCCTAAAATAGCAAGTTCAGAATAGCAGATGTGATTGGCTAAATTGTCTTTCTTGGCTGTATTGCTCTTCTCCAACCGTCTAGTATAAATCCTTGAAAATTCTCTGAAACCTTGATTATGAAACATTTGGTCCCTCAGTTGAAGAGCAAGGTCCAAACACAGGATGAAAAAGTAACAAGAAACCACTTCATACAGGTATGCAACAGAACATAGGTGTGGAGTAGTGGTGAAAGGTCCAAAACTGAGTGGGAATATATCAGCAACAGATCCACTTAAGGACAACCGCTTACTTCTTCAAGCTGAAGCCTTAGATAACACTGACGAGGCAAGACATACAGCTGCAGTTGTTAATGAGTTATCCAGGGAGATATCTCGTATTCTGGTTTCTCACCCACTAAATGCAAAACGAGCAGCAGAGGGTAAGAATATTGCCAATGTGGTCCTTTTACGAGGATGTGGCATTCGAATTGAGGTGTGTTGTCTCGATCCTTCCATGAATCATGTCTATTTTTTCCAGGAAAGGTAGTGAACACCTTAGGAAATTAAATTTCAAGTTCTCATTCATTTTAGCAATCAAGGGGTAGAAATTGCTTTATTGCTTGAAAACAACATCCGTGCCATTTCCCTTTATATTTACTTGTAAGATGAACAATAACTGTACCAACATGAGGAACTTCTAAATGACTCAAGTATTGATTTAGGATTTTCATTTTGAATGTGTCATTTTTTGGATTACAAATTGTATGGGAGGTAAAATTTCATGAAATACCGCTTGCAGCATGAGAGAGGTGGGACTGTTGTTGCATTCTTAACTTCACAAATTTCATAATTCTGCTGCAGTCTCTGTGGAATAATTAAGGGTGTGAGGTTGCCATAAAACTTGGTAGATCTAAATGGTCTTCATTTGAACAGTTCTGGGTAGAAAAGGAATAAGGGGGCTGAGATTTTTAATGAAGAGTTGTATCATATCAGATGTTTCTTGCTAATTTTTCTATGCAGTACAAATTTGAGTATATTTCTTATCATATTATTTTTCAGGTACCTTCTTTTCAGGATAAACATGGTTTATGGGCATGCATGGTAGCTCCCACTAAAATTATTGCTGGTTTGGGATTATCACTAGATATTGATATTCTAGAAGCTCCTGGAGCAACCGGAGATTATCGAACGCTTTTGACTTCCAAAGCAACTGTCATAGCTAAGGCACTCTCAGCTCCATTGGCGCCTTCTCCCAATGTATTTGTACCAGGGGAGGACGAGCACAAACCAGGACGACCAGATGGCTATGACTTTGGGTTTCTCCACATTAAGGTCTTAACCTTCTCATTGTGTGTATTATCTCTATCCTTTTCATAATCAGAAAAGGCTGCCTTTTGTAGCAGAATTGTTTCACCTATATGGTTATGACTTTGGGAAGCTTCCTCATCTTTTTCTGTTCTTTGATAAATGCTTTCATAGTAATCATGGTTAGATAGAAAATACTATCGGTAGCTTCCATGCATTTTAGGCTGAAATGGTATATGATGCTGTACGGTCATACAGACCAAGGACTTTCTAGAGATGGATTCAACACCCAAAAGCTTTGAGACTGATTGAGCTTCGACTGTAAGAGTTCAGGACAGCTCCAGCATGTTGTTTGGGAAAATAGCACATTTCATTTCTTGGCAGGGTATACTGATGGCTCTAAGTATCATTTATTTCTGGGAGGCTTTCTTCCCCTCTCATTGTTTACCAGTTTATTTAGTTCCCTTGTGACTTACCTGGTCTGGATAGAAAATTGTTTGAAAGGCTGAATGCCTGACCTCTATGCTTAGATTTGAAGTTCTCAATGTCTTCTTGGTAGTTGATTTACTTGATATTTGGCATTTCAGGCAATAGATGATGCAGGCCATGACAAGGCAAGCATTTTGAAAGTTAAAGCATTGGAAGCTGTAGATCGAACTATTGGCCAGCTGGCCAAGCTCCTCTTGCAAGCAGAATCAACCGGAAAGTTTCAGTATTTCATTTGTGTCACTGGAGATCACTCTACACCGGTTGAATATGGAGACCATAGTTTTGAACCAGTTCCGTTTTCGATGTGCCGGTTGAGAGATTTTGTGGGTGCCGTGGGTGGAGAGTCCATCATCATGGAAACTTCCCTTGATCCATTTCCTATTCCTACTGTTGAGGCTGGTGAAGACCTTGTGGAAGCTCAGAAGGTGGGAAAGGAGAGAAGCAGCAAACAGCTTAAAGCTTTCAGCGGTGATTCAGTTTGTGAACTTAGTGAGATAGCGGCAGCAAGAGGATGCCTTGGACGGTTTCCAGGGGGACAAATGATGGGTATTATCAAGGCATTTCTCGAACTTAATGCATAAGCTGCTTATCCAAGAACAACTGGCATGGCCCGGGGTTCTCAATCAATAAGGTGATTTTTCAGCTTAAAAGAGAGGGAAAAGGAACCATTATTTGATGATGTTGAAATTATTGAGATTTGAATGCTTGTGCTTTACAGAATATGAGCGATTTGTACTAACCTGCAAAATTATACAGAGGAAAAATATTCAAATGATCCTTCTCTCACGGGATAGATCCTTGGTCATGGTCATTCCATAACACCCCTGTGAGAACCAGCATATATTTTGTCATTTTGCTTGATCCATACTTTTGAAGATGCCACTTGATTCGGTTGTTTCCCTACCTATTGACTGACAAGAATTTCCCAACCCTTCTCATACTTTTTCTGACACCAAAAGATGTAAAAATCCCTTTGTAATTGGCAGTCGAAAACTTGTGTCCATGGTTTATTTTCCATTTGTTAAGTTTGTCTTCTTAGCCAACTCATGTCTTTCAGATATTGACTTGAGTGAGCTGCAGCTGCTTGTTTTTTCTGCTGTGGTTACGGACTTGTAAAGTTCTTGGGAGATGCATGATTGAGGAGCATACCGGTTCTGCTACTTTGGCATTAGACAGCTGCACGTTGTAAATTTTCAATTTACTATTTGATTAATTCAAATCATAATTTTAAAATCTGAATTGGTTTGATGGGTTAACTTGAAACCCGACCAACCCAAGCCTTGGAGCGATTCAAATCTAAATAAAAATCCCTAAAGAAATTGAAATTGGCTTGGTGAGACCCCATTAACCCAGCAAGTTGATCCAGAACTTGAACAACCTGGATAAATCCAGCTGACACCTAATCTTTTATATATATATATATATATATATATATAAAACAATGCTGTTTTGGCCTCTCTAAAGGCCAAAACAATGAACAATTTAGAATTACAGACAGAGAGAAAACCTAATTTATATATAAAAAAAATTTATCATTCCATTAAGAATTTCTAACAATTAAGAATTTTCATTAACAATTATTATAAATAATAATATTTAACAGCCACAAATATAAATTTACCATTCCATTAAGAATTTCTAACAAACTTACCATTCTATTAAGAATTTTTAACAATTACTTTTGAAATATCGAACTATTCCAAAAACCCTAATGCTAAACAATACAATATATCAAAATTGATAGTAGAGATTAAATTACCATTTTCATTAAAGATATTTTCTTCTTTGAACTGATAGATAAAAGAGCCAAAGAGTAATCCATGAGGGAGATCCATTAACCTAATAATCTATTAGAAGAAGAATACTAGACAAAACCAAGAAAATTTAGGGTTTAAAAGCAATCCTAAAAATAGAGAGAAGGAAATGCAGGTAAAGAGAGGATAAATAGAGCAAGGATTTTAATAGATCTATCAAAAAACAAAAAAAAGTAAAAAAAAAAAAAAGATAAATAGAGTGAAAGAAATGAAGAGACATTTTATAACGAAAAAAAACTTAATTGGTAGAGTGACTAAGACGTGTAATATTATTGGTAGAGTGAAGAAGATGAATAACAAATTTACCATATTAAGTTTTGAATCGACCACCAAATTATGCTTCAAGTCCATGTTTAAAAAAAAAATACAATGACAAAATAATTTTCTTTCTGTTCTTTAGGAGGTTAAATGAGCCTTAAATCTATTTGACAATAACATCATTTTTATTTTTTTATTTTTTTTGAAGTATCAAATTAATATTTTATAAGTATTTTTTATTATTTTAATATATTTATATAAATTTTTTAAAAAAAATTATATTAACATAATTTCAATTAAAAATTACTTTAAAAAATATTACATATCAAAAAACAGTCATCATAGCCATCGAACGTGTAAAGTAACATCTGCAAGAAGCTTCCTGAATTAAAAAAATTCTTTGCAGGTTTTTTTTAATAATAATAATTAATTATAGTTGACAAGAATCCACTGGATTAGATCCATCTATATTGACAACTACAATCATTGTCTATCAAATCT